ACATGGAGAAAAGAGCGATAGAAAAAGAAGTGGGCTTAATTATCTGAAGTACAGTATGAGTGGAAGATCTATAGAGATTGCAGACAGTAGCTCACACAGCTAATACCTGCATTCATTGAGTCTTTCCTGGATCCAGACGGTGATCCAGATCATCACCAAAATGGAATCACTTGTTGCCAGTCAGGAAACGCACCTTTTCTGAAAATGTCAATAAAATTAAAGAGACAAACAAACCAACCAGCACTGATGAGAACATTAACTCCTTAGTGAAGGTAAAATGATCTTTAACCTCCAACTTTACTCTTAAAAATAGAGTCACTGTGAACCAGAGCGTCACCAGCGGTTGGTTAGCAATAGAAACACGCTGCGGTTGAGGCTGTGTGTGATGTCATCAGTAGAGGCTAGAAACGCTTCTGGTGACAAAACGTGTGAAATTAATTATAACTCACTATCTACGACACTCAGAATATCCCCACAGTCAGGCTGCTGAAGGGGACAAACTCAGACTTTTATAACGGGAGATGATTTCAGTAAAGCTGATTGTTGATTTAAGGAGAAACAGGAACAGGTTCAGCACTGGTGCAATCCTGGGAGAAGAGGAGTAGGAGTAGAAATCCCTCTGTGTTCATCTGGATAACAACCTGGAGACACAACCATGAAGCCGTCTCCAAGAAGGGACAGAGCAGACTGGACTTCTAGAGGAAGCTGAGGTCCTTCAGAGGCTGCAGAACTTCTATCAGTCTGCTGAGGAGAGTCTGATCTCTTCCTCCATCATCATCTTCAGAGCTAATGACGGAAAGAAGCTCAAGCAGCTGATAAAGAGGCCGGCTCTGTTCTAGAAACTCCTCTAGAACCTCTGGAGATGAAGATGATGATGGACAGCAGTGAGCATCCTCTTCATCAGACTGATAGACACCAACAGAGGGTCTTCAGTCAGTGGATTTTCCAGAACCTCTGCAGGAGATCCTTCCTGCTGCATAAGAAAAAAAAAACGTTATGACATTTGATTTCCATTTGGGATCCTTTAATATCTTTGAATTGAACTAAAATAGCTCAGCTGCAGTTGTACTTCCTGTAGTCGATTCATCTAAGAGGGAAAATGATGAGCTCTGGGTCAGTCGGGAGCACATCCAGTTAGATCCTGTAAAAACTCGGCAGCTATAACAGAGAGTCGAGCTACTATGATGAGAAAAAGCAGAGCAGATGGAGTAAGTCCCTGTAAAGCTCAGCTGATCCCTATAGAGGAGAGTTAGCCAACCAGAGACTAAACCAGACAGGAAGCAGCAGCACAGCTGAT